TCTCTGGCACAGCTGTGATTCCATCCAAGCAGCACCACAGCAGTASAGCACAGCTGCCATTCAGGTTTGCYCCATCAATGAACAATAGATACAAACCCCCTTTTCCTAGTTTAAAAAAGCAGTTCTGTCTTGGTATCAAGTGCACAGCCTGAGTTGGCAATTTTCTGTACTATCTACATTTGTCTTACAAAAATATTTCGATTCAGCAGAGTATTTATTAATGCCTTAACTCAGTACAGCAGTGGGCCTGGTTGACATTCAGTGTTTATTTATTTCAGGGTAGGGTGGCCAAATTAACTGGCAATCACAGCTCATCAGCAGCTAATTAGTCTGGTTCCTTCTCACTCATCAAGAACCTGTCATCTCAGAAAAGCTCCACTGACCCACCACAGTRAGCAGCTGTTTTACTTTCACCCTCAAACACACACAGGCACATTTTAGGAATCCTTGAAGCCTGGGTAGGAGCAACCAGATTTGCAATCATCCCACACACTGAACTCTGATCTCCCACTACATGCACAGTGGATTGTTTCCTCATAGCCACTTAAAAAAAAAAAAAAAAAAAAAWWWMAAAAAAAAAAAAAAAAAAAAAAAAAAAAAAAAAAAAAAAAAAAAGGAGCTATATAAAGTTTTATAACACGAGTTTTGATAGCATTGGAATCAGGTTCCTCCTTGAAAATTCCCAAGGGAAGTTTTTCCACAGCCTGCTGTTGATGTTCTCTCGTGACAAGGCAGGGATGTACAACAGACAACACATAGATACCACCAGCCTGCCCACCTGGGGCTGCTGAGATTGCAGAGCATGGGACAGGACTCAAGACAAACAAACCCTGCAGCCTGACAACACTTTTTGGTTTTAGACTGCCCAGAATGCTCCCTTCTCCCCAGCAAGCTAACTACTTGACCAAAGTTTAACTTTAGCTCCAATTTGGGGTACAAAGCACTGTGCACCCAAGAGATGGAGCTTTCAGGAGCAAGGCTTCTGGAGCTTTTACCTCTTTATTCCCAAATCACACAGTCAAGCTGCCAGCAGCAACAGGTAACAGACTGGTCTGAAGCTGAAGATCAGCACAAGCTTTGTACTTGACCATTTTTTAACCTCTGGTAATGAATCCACAGAGAACTGGGATCATGCTGTGTCTATTGATTGATTTCAATAATAGCCTGCAAAACCTTTCTCATTCAAATCCATCACCCGCTTTTTATGGCAAAGGCTCCAGTTGGGTACCTCATCTTTCCTTAAGCATCACTACAAACCTACAAGGGTTGCACAACAAGCTTCCTAGACAATGTGGGTCAGGTACAGTTCAAGAAATTGTATTATTGAGTCCATGAGGATTTCCTAGGAGCAGCCTGGAGTGTGCTAAAGCAGGTCTGGCCAGCACAAACATTGCAATATCARTGTTTCTGCTCTCAAAGTTTTATGGCAGAAACTTCAGCAGAAAAGCAATGAACTCCCAGAATCTGAATTCCTCTGAAATTTTTCAATGAAGTGAAATGAGGAAGTTCAGCAGCTGCAGCCAACTGCAGCATTAAGGGCAAGAACCACGTGCACCCGGGCTCAGAGGGGTGCACACCCATCTGAGAAAGGAGCAGCTCCAAAAGATACTGGTTCAGCCAGTGTTCCACACTGAATAGGTACAGGCAACGAAAATGCAAATTAAACCCCAAATACACAGATAAATCAGTCTGTAGGCAGAGCAGTCCTGTTCCACAACAGTGCTGGCCTGCAAGCTCCCAGCACTTCTGGCGTGAAGCAGATGAGTTTCATTATGTAACAGTACTCATGTCATTAGAGACCTGGCAGTGGGTCACATGCAAGGTTTGGGTCTTAAATAATGCATCAAAGGTGCAATGCCACAATACTTTATTGAGAGTTGGGCTGCCCAGAGGGATGAGTTTCACCTGAGCACACAGAACCTCAGCAGTACCTGGCTCTGGGCTTTGCCTCTCCCAGGACAAGGCATTTGCTTGGAGCTGAAGCTTTGGCCAACTCCTGAGATTCTCCTCTCAGTGCTGCTCACTACAGGCACACTTCAACTACGAATTCTGGCCTGGCTTTAAACTGATATTGGAGTCAAACCATTCACTGCTCAGCTGCCCAGCTAAACAACCACTGCAGCAGCACTTTTTAGACACTACAAACAGCTATAACCTTCATATAAGACCTTAACAGTGTTTTTTTTTAACAAGRTACTTAGAAATTAGTTTTTCCCYATTTGAGTTTTGAAAAAAGTCACCRTAAATCATGCAAATCCATCACTACATTAGTGCCCACCACAGTGCCAGTTAGCTGAACACAAACTGAACACAGACAGTGSCATCAGGCTGCCAGAAGACCTTGACCAGGCTCGCCAATGTAGCTTTTATTACACGAATTCTGCTCAAAAAACAGCTCCTCAGCAGCGAAACCAAGCTCAAAAACACTGTGGCTCACAGTACTTCGCCCTTCAGACCTGTCGGGAGAGGAAGTGCCCATTGCACAACTGGACCAGCACTTCCAGACCCCTCCCTGCGCTCCAGCTTCACCCACGGACACGGCAGGCACACAAACCATCTAGGATGTGCTACCAGCGCCTCCAGGAARCCACGTTAAGAGAAATTAAAGGCCATCACTCGGAAATAAACTATTAGCAAGTGGTTATGGTGCAGTGRAACGCAGAGCCGGGGTTGGGGGCAGGCCAGCGGACACCAGAGCTGGCACCTGGGCACCTGCACTGCCACAGCTGCACTGCAGGGAGCCGCAGCAGCTCCCACATTTCCCTGCAATACGTGCTTTTTCTTCCAGGAGATGACATTACAAGCGGGGACACCGGCGAAACGGTTTAGGCYGTCCTTAAAACTATAGGAGGTTTTAGCGTAGTTAAAATAAATAAAATTAAGCAGAACACGGAGACAGCTCGGCCAGCTGCCCGGCTCACCCCCGTGCCTCACAGACCCCGCGCTGGGCCGGGATTTCCCCCTGGCGCTGCCCCGGGAAGCGCAGAGGAGCCTCCCGCGCCCCGGCGGCCCAGCCCGCACCGCCCGGCCCGCACGGGCACCGCGCCAGCCTCGCCCACCCCGCCGGGGCACGGCCCGCGGGGCACCGGCAAGGGCGGGATGCCCGGCCCGGCCCCTCCCGGAAGGTGCCCTTCGGGAAGAAGCGCTCCCCGAGCCGGACACCGGCAGCGCCAACACCCCGCCGAGGGGGCCCGGCCGCCCCGCGGCCCTCACGGAGGCACCGCGGGCAGGCCCGGCGCTTCTCCCCCGGCACCGTCCCCGGGCGGCTCCCCCGGCTGAGGGAAGCAGCGGCCCGCCCGCCCCCGCGCCCACCTGGAGATGCTCCTGGAAGCGGATGGGCAGGATCTGGGCCATGGCGGCGGTGGGGCGCTCCGGGCCGGGCCGGGCTCAGCGGTGCGGGCGGAGCGGGGCCGCGATGGCGGAGCGGGGCCGTGCGGAAGCTGCCCCCGCCGGCGGAAGGATACCGCCGCGGAAGGATACCCGCACCTGCCGCCGCCGGCCTCAACCGCGCCGGCCGCGCGGAGGGATCCGGGAGAGCGGCGCCAATGGGAGCGGCRGGGGTGATGCGCCGCCGGAAGGGACTATTTGGGGACGCATCACTCCCTCCCCTCCCCGGCCTTTTTTTTTTTTGCCACATCATGCGACCGAGGGGCCGCGACGTCACTTCCGCCCCGCGCGCGCGCCGCCCCGCGCCGTCACGTGGGCCCGGCGGCGCGGC